GTTTGGAGAGTGCGTCTGCTTGAGCATTTTGACCCCTTGGGATCAGCTCTACTTCGAAAGATCTCAGCTTCGCAATTGTCGATTTGATCCTTGTGAGGTAAGCTGCCATTGAAGGCTCTTTAGCCTCATACTCCCCCCGGATCTGATTGGCGACCAGCTGAGAATCTGTCTTGAGGTAGACATGCTCGGCTTCCAACGATATGCACAGGTCTAAGCCAGCAATGGCTGCTTCATATTCGGCCTCGTTGTTAGAGGCTTTGAATGAAAATTTTAGTGCATACTCGAAGGTTTTGCCTTCGGGAGAGGTGATGACGACCCCTGCCCCCGAACCGTTCACGGTGGAGGACCCATCCGTGAAGACGGTCCAGATTTTCCTCCTTGCATCCAGAGTCTCCTGATAGGAGCACTCGGCCAAGAAGTCTGCCAAGGCTTGCGCCTTGATGGCTGTTCTCGGCTGATAACCGATACTGAACTCGGTGAGCTCGAAAGCCCACTTTGCTAGTCTACCGGATTTTTCAACCTTGCCGAGGACTTTCTCTAACGGCTGATCAGTTAGAACCGCTATTTGATGAGAATCAAAGTAGGGTCGCAACTTCCGAGCAGCCACCACCACTGCATAAGCCACTTTTTCTAACAATGGGTAGCGCGTCTCGGCATCCGTTAGGGTGTGGCTGACGAAATAGATCGGCTGTTGAACTTTTTCTTCTTCCCTTAGCAGCACCGCGCTTACCGTGGCTGGACTGACCGCCACGTATAAGTATAGGATGTCTCCTACGACTGGCCTTGCCAGTGTTGGGAGTTGAGCCAGGTGTTCACGGAGCTGCTGAAAGGCTGACTTTTGTTCGTCTCCCCATTCAATGCCTTTTGAATTTTGGAGCTTCAGCGCCTTGAAGAAAGGGAGCCCTTTGTCTGAGGCTCGTGAGATGAACCTGGACAAGGCAGCCATTCTCCCGGCTAGACGCTGAATATCCCTTTTTGTCTTCGGCTCGGGGAGGTCTAAAGCAGCTTGTACTTTGGCGGGGTTTGCATCAATCCCCCTCTTGCTGACCATGAAGCCGAGGAACTTGCCTGACTTCACGCCGAAGACACATTTCTTCGGATTCAGCTTCATTTTGTATTTTCTGAGGGTGGCGAAGGTTTCGGCTAGGTCCGTGACATGATCTTTTTCTTTTATGCTTTTGACGATTGAGTCGTCAACATAAACCTCCATGTTTCGGCCTTTTTGCTCGGCGAAAACCTGATCAACCAACCTCTGATATGTTGCCCCCGCACTTTTCAATCCGAAGGGCATCATTCTGTAATTGTACAACCCGGAACTTGTTATGAACGCTGTTTTAGCTCGGTCCTCGGGGTGCATGAAGATCTGATGGTATCCCGAGAATGCGTCCATGAAACTGAGCAGAGCATGCCCGCTTGTCGAGTCGACCAGTTGGTCGATCCTCGGCAGCGGATAGGAGTCCTTGGGACATGCCCTATTCAGGTCCGTGAAGTCAACGCACATCCTCCAGTTACCATTTGCCTTCTGAACCATTACAACATTGGCCAGCCACTCCGGATACTGACAGGGTTCAATGAACCCAGCATCTAGGAGCTTATCGACCTCAGCTGCGATGTTCTGGTTCTTTTCGGCGGAGTAGTTCCGCTTTTTCTGCTTAATGGGTCGACTGGAGGGGTCGACATTAAGCCTATGGGAGACGAAGTCCGGATCAATCCCGGGCATTTCTGCGGCTGAGAAGGCGAACACGTCTCCACTGGCCCGTAGGAGTTGGACGAGTGCCGCACGGGTGTTTGGCTCCAGTGACGACCCGATGCTAACACATCTGTTCGGATCTCCTACGGTCAGTTCTATTGACTCGGTCAGGTCATCCGTCTCCATGCTCTTAGAGTTGGATTCCTCGAATTCCGGCCTGCTATCAATATTAGCAGACTTTCCTGACCGCGGCTGGCCATCAGAGTCGTTCGGCTCTGAGGCGGAGTCAGCCTTTTGGCCCCCATCAGATTTCTCGTTGTCTGGGGCTTCATTAGCCGAAACGTCTGAGCCTCTCGGCTTTTTGGCGTTTCGGTCCCGGTGCTTTTCCTCCCCATCGCCACGGTCGCCTCGGCGAGACGTGGATGGCTTGAGGTGATTGCATCGGCGGGCTTCTTTTTGACTGCCCTTTATTTTCTCGGAGCGTCCCTCGTCTGAAACGTATATCATGATTTGATGATACGTGGAGACGACTCCTTGAATGCCGTGAATGAGGGGTCTCCCCATGATCACGTTGTATGCAGATGGAGCATCTACGACCAAAAATTCGGCCATGATATTCCTAGCTGCTCGGCCTTCGCCGATGGTGACAGGAAGTGTAATCTTCCCGTCAGGATACGATGAAGAGCCGTTGAATCCAGACACCGGGTAGGGTGCGGGGTCCAGGTGCTCGGCTCCCATCCTCAGCTGGTCGAACGCTCCTCGGAAGAGGATGTTCGCCCCGCTACCGCCGTCGACGAGGGTCCGCCAGACGTTGCGGTTGGCGATGCCCAGAATGATTACTAGTGGGTCATCGTGGGGGTATACCACCCCCTCACAGTCTTCGGCTGTGAACAGGATGTTCGGCGCCGGTGACTGGGACTGCCGAAGCTCAGCCTGATGAATCTGATGGGTTAGACCCCTCAGTTGGCGTTTGGCTGTGCCTCGCGAGATTCCCCCGGAAATAACTAGGATGTCGAGGGACTCCTTGCCCTGAGGTCCCTTATCCTTCTTCCGAGCGAAGTTGAGGTCCTGCCGAGAATCTTTTTCAGCTTTTTTCTCCTCGCGCCTGTCCGCGAGGTATTGGCTCAGGTACCCCTTGCGGACCAGATCCTCAATCTGGTCCTTCAGCTGGACGCAGTCCTCGGTGCGATGTCCGGGTGAGTCATGGAACTCGCACCACTGGTCCTTTCCCCTCGTCTGATGCCAGGGAGGCAACGGACGAGGTTTTTTGAATCTCCCCTCGTCCTTCGTCGTGCTGAAAATCTTAGCACGGGGAAGGGAGAGTGGAGTGTATGAATCGTACCTTCCCGTGTAGGGAAAGTGTCTTTCCTTCTTCGGCTCGGCAGCAGAGGACGGTTCTGAGGCCTTAGCCTTCCCTTTCCTCTGCGCCGAGACTTCGGGCTGCTGCCCTTTCGGCTTGTCAATTCTCGGACGAGACTGAGACCTGGATCTGTTCCACTCCTCGGCTCGGATGAACCTATCCGATGCTTCCAAGGCTTCCTCCAGGGTCTGCGGGGGATGCATGACCATGAAGTCCAGGAACTTTCCAGCTTGGAGGCCGTTCCGTAGCGCGAACACGGCCAGGCCTTGATCCAGGCTTGTGATTCCGGATGACTCGTTGCTGAAGCGAGTCAGATAGTCGCGGAGGCTCTCGTCCTCCGCCTGCTGCAGACTCATTAGCTCTGCAGTGGTCTTCTCTCGGCGGTTGGCCGTAGAGAATTTGCTCTTGAACTTGTTGGAGAGGTCGTTCCAACCGGTTATGGAGCCTTCCTTGAGCCCTTTGGTGATCCAGGATTGGGCAACACCTTTGAGGGTCGTAGGAAAGTATTTACACCAGGTAGCCTCAGACCTCGGGTTCAGATACATGTGCCCCTCGTAAGAGGCAATGTGATCCTTAGGATCTGAGGTACCATCGTAAGTAATATGTGCCGGGATTTTGACCGTTGGCACATGCTCTTCCAGAATCCACTTCTGGAAGGGCGAGTTCGATGGAACCATGACCGCCTTCCCCTTGTACCCGGCCTCAGGGACCTCGCTCCCTCCTCTCTCAGAGGTGGAAGTGGTTTTCGTCCCCGGCTGAGACAAGGTTGGGTGGGGTCCGGTATCCTCTGGGAAGGTGAGGCGGCTATGCACACTCACCTCCCTCGAACCCAAGCGTTCGTGAACGCTTCGGCGGGCGAATTCCGGGTCCTTGGAGGGCCCCATGGAATTCTGAGCTTCAGAGTGGTCAGAGGGTTGAGGGTTCCTCCTCCTCTCCTTACTGGAGTTTCGGGTGTCCCCTCGCCACCTCTGACCGAGCTGTCTATGTGGTGGAACTTGTCCACCATCATCCTGACCGATCCTCCTTTTCAGGTTTCTCGGCTGGTGATCATCAGGCATCTGGATTGGAGCCCCTTGAGCTTTAAGGAACTCCATGCAGATGGCCACTGCTCTGGCCACTTCCTCGGTGGAGGGTCCGGAGGGAGGAGTCTCCCGCGGATGTGACCTGGATTGCACGCTATGGCGCGGCGGGGAGTTCCTCGCACCTGAGCCACTCGGTCTCGGGGATGGCCCCGGCTGCCGAGTGTGGTGCGAGGTGTTCTCCTCCTGGAGGCTAGGACCTCTTGAGGCTTCCCTTTCCGGAGAAATGGGGGCCTCCGATTCGGAAGAGGCTTGCTCCGGGGAGGGATAAACCGGCTGGCGTTCCCTCACCGTAATCCGGCCTCCTCCCTTCTTAGCCTTCTTGGAACTCTTTCCACTCTTAGTCATGGCGACTGCCGGAGTGTTTGATGACTGACGCGAAATTTAGTAGCGTTCCCCACAGACGGCGCCAAATTGTTTCGGATGAAAACAATCGAATCTCGGAAGATCCTTTTATCTTGAGGGAACTTGGTCTCGGTCCGAACGACGCAGGAGCCGAGGGTTTCCTGCACAACAAATACACGTAAACTAGCCTCGGGGGGGACGCCGAGGAAGGCCCCTCCGATGCTTAAGTCAGTATATTAGAGAGAGAAAGCTGTGCAAGAGTTTAGTTGCTTGAGGCTTTATTGTCTTACCAAGGATTGACCAAATTGTTGGCTTTTATACCTTGGCTAATGAAGGAGGCGGATTGGGCCCGGAAGTCAGTTGGGCTGGGCCAAGCTGACTGGGCCGTTGACTGACCTTGACATGGCTTTGAGGATGTTGATTTTTGACTTTAGCATATTTGGAGAGTTGAACCTTAACCTTGGGCTTTTAATTGGATCATTCAGTGACCAGGCCCAATTGGACTAAATTGGACCCAAACAGTAGCGATTTTGATCCCCTTGTCATGATAATTTCCGAAACTCCCGGTTACTTTTGTTATCTTTTCGTGTTCGTCAAATGTAATCTGTATATGTTAAAAGGTTAGATAGTGTTAAATAATCCTCTAAGGGGCTGGACATCCTATCAAGGTAAATCCTTTAAATATCATGTTAAATTTCGAATTAATATGAAATGGGTCTGGGCAACCCGAACAAGGAGAAGGAGAGTTTGGTCTACAAACAAGGCTTAGGAGCTTCCATACTAAAATCAATTGGCAATAGTAAGAGGTACTCCTCTACCTTAAAAAGTGAAACCATCTCTCTTTTTTCTCTAATGTGGGACATTCATAAGTGGATTGCAATGAGTTTCAACAGATAAGTATGTTTTTAAAACAAAGAAAATAGATATGTTTGATTATACTTGTAAATCGCTAGATATTGGCAATAAGTATTACGTAATAAAATTAGAAAAAATAATACAGATTAATTAAATGTACCGTGTTAAATTTCTCTTCAGGACCATGAAACTCTTGGCTGTAGATTTTTCCACTTATAATATTTTTGACTTCGAACCCAATTCCATCAACAACATATGCATGCCAGATTGTTATGCTGGAAATCATATCACCTTCTTTAAGCTTAATGTACCAGTTTAATTTACTCTCCTTGTCACCATATGGCCCATATTTTGTGATCTTTTTGCCCTGGAATTCAATATATATATATAAATACATCCTATTTTAAGAAAATAATTACAATAATCCATAAAATATATTAACACTAATGTAGCATTCAATACAGTATATAAGGGCTTGTTCACATTTACTGAACTGAACTGAACTGAATAGAGCTGAAATGAATATTTTAGTGGAGAAGGAAATTAGGAACTGAACTGAATTGAACTGATTGTAGTTGAATTGAACTGAACTGAATTGAAATTAAGCTGAAGTGAACAGATCCTACCTTCATGCGCTATTATTTGTGAACTATTCGAGCTTGGTTTGAAGGTTCCACAAGCTAAACACAACAAACTCTACTCAACACCTTTTCTATCTTACTGTTTAATTGTATGCACAATAACATCTCACTTAGATTGATAGTAAAAATAAAAAAAAATAATAAAAAAAAAGTTTTCATATAAAAAACATTGATGAAAATTTAAACAAAAAATGATAATAACATAAACATAATGGATAGAAAAAGATCTAATTTTGAAAGCAACTTAAACTTTATGGTAATGATAAATTGAAACTTAAATTAAGTTCATTAGATGAGATCATAACTCGGCTTGAATTTGAACAAAATTTCTAATAAGACTAGCTAGAGCAACTCAGGTTCGATCTTTAGTTTGCTTGCGAACATGTCACCCCTAAATCTAATTATTGTCCTACATAGCAAGAGGAGGAAGATAATTTCCCAACATATATAAATTAAACTAGATGCTAAGGCTACTCCGATCCATTTATTATCTATTGTTCTTACAATATTAAATTCATTTAATGGTTACAGAGGTGAGAAATTAAGTTGTGCAAGGTCAAAATCGATTCATTTGATGATAACTGGAAAATGTACGTGTGTAATAAGTTTCTTACCGATGCATAAATTCCAATCGAACCTAAAAACGTTTCAGTACATCCGAAAAATCCATCAATAGAACCATCAATTGGAAGTGGAGATGAGAAAGGGGTTACTTCGCTAGGCTCCTTTGAATCACAATATTGTCCATGCCCCTCTGGGAATAAATCGGTATGTATCGTCATTGTTGTGATGCATACCTCCCCTAAGTGATACCCGTATGTTCCGCTTATGTGGGTTAGATTATCGCCATCCAATAACGGAACCTGCATTACATATTTACACGTACATACATATACTTCAATTATATACATGGATTGAATAGATCAATAAGGTTGTTTTGAAATAAGATTTACTAAACAAGATGTAATTGGCTATTTCCTTCGGTTTTTTTTTTTTATTGGACCTACTTTATTTGACTTTTACATATACTATTCTCATCTCATCCTTTGATTGTGGTTTTGTGTTATTTATAAGGAAAAACATATTCCTTTAGTATCATGTTAGAAGCGTATCAATCAACACGTACTATCATAATGTCAAATTTTATAATTTTTATTTTATTGAGAACTATAGTTAATAATGATTATATTTATTTAGTTAATAATTAACAAAGCAGTTGCAGTGACACCAATGTAAATGTAATCGAATAATATAAACTTACTTTAAAGACAAAAAAAAACAATCTTGTTCTAAGCTGTAACAGTAACTCAAAATTACATGTTTAATACCTCGGAAGTAGTACTAGTATGTGACTTGGCGCCGGTGCCTTCATACCAGTTAGTTTTAATTACTTTCCCATCCTTAGTTATTTCGAACCCAATTCCTTCAACAACGAAGTCATGAATAACCAAAATTTTCGTGATCTTTTCACCTTTTTCAAGCTTAAAGGACCACTGCAAAATAGACAGCAACAAAATAATTGAATAATAATAAATAAAAAAAAATTAAAAAAAAAGAAGCTAAAAGCAGTTGCAAATAGAAACTCATCCTATTCCCTCGATTTTTAAAGAGATTGTTATATACACCTGGGTGTACGGTACACCCATTAGCATTTTGTTCTCATTTTGATGATTATTTTTTATTTAATCATCAAATGATGAAGAATGAAAATTGAGGGGTGTGTGCCGTGTGGTACACCCGAGTGTATATAAAATATTCTACAATTTTTGCAGTTTTTTAATAAAGCTTTTCTAGTCTATGACTAAATAACCGTCAAAATAAGAAATTTTGTAAAAATGGTGGGAATTCTTTGTAATCAAACTTTAAAAATTAAATTTAGACACTAGCTAGAATATCGCACGTACTGGTACCACCGATGATTTTGCCATTTTGCGGTTTAAGTTTGAAATGGAGGATGATTGTTATGTTGCAATGAAAATAGGAAGATGATCGAGACATATATATAGTCGTTTAATTAGATCGAACACTGAATATTTTCGGAGCATGGTGGGAGTAATATATCATTAATGTTAACACATAAATGATCTATACAATATACTCGTAATTAACAAAGAAATCTTCATTGATTCATTCAATTAGTCTTTGAAATACAAATTGAAAATATAGCGACTTTGTATCAACTACGGAGTATATCATTAAGAATTCTTAATTTTTAATTTTTTATTTTTTTAAAAAATTGCATGATAATGAATACTATCTCAACCATTATTATTGACATTAAGTTTAATCAAGACATTATATTTTAATACGGTAATCGATCTTATGTAATCACTTAATTGTATATGGTATTTATAATCTTTTATAAACCAACTTGCATTGTGTTGGTCAACTCAACTATTGTTTCTTTCTACATGATCGATCGATGATGAAAAAGAAAAGTCAATGGAATGAATTCAAGCCATCAATAAATAATACCAGGAGCTAGAGTTCAGATGATTTAAAAGCTCAATTTCAAAGTTTATGATAAATTAAACTGATGCGATTGGAAGAGCGAATATATGGTGTTTCTTTGTTTCTAAGATTAGATAACTTGTACAATGGAGTGAATGAACCGACGGCAAAAAAAAGTGTCGCTAGTATAATCTAACGATGGTTTGGCCGATTGTACCCTTGAAAACCTCTGACGGTTTAGTATGGCAACAGTGGTAAACCGTCATAAAACACGAATTTTTTTGTAATAAAAAGAAAAGAGAGACTAGTAAGTTGGATGGTCTAGCAGGTTTGTAGAGAGGATGCCCCAATTTCTCATAGTGAGAATTTGCTTCTCACATGATATTTTCGTAAACTTGAGATTAGAGGCTATAACTTATAATAGATTGTTGCCCTATTAATAGTAAAGATTTAGAGTTTAAAATCCTTAGTGGTTGTGTTTTGTTCTTCTTTGTGCACAAGATTTTTTCCACCCTAAATTTCTCTTTATATATTGTAAGGAGTAGTATACTTGAGCTCCTTTTCAAGTGTTTATTCTGCAAAAAGTTACCATTAGTTAAGTGGACGTACTACTATTCACCTCCCTTTTAGAGTTTTAGTATTCATCAGAGTAACAAGTTAGACCATTATATACTGATGACTCCACCTTGTTGTTTCCCTTGTTATTTCGTTTATATTCCTACTTAGTTTTATATTGGATGATGGAAGTCAAAATGAATAGTCAATGTTTATTTAATTTGTTAATATGTTTAGTTTATTTATCTTAGCTTATTTTATGATTCTGTCAAATTATATTCGAATATATCCTGCTAAGTATGCTAACCTATTCGTATATTCTGCTATAAGCATGTTTATGATTTTATTATTCTTTAAGTAACTGATTTTATCTTTATGTTTCTAAGATAATATTTTCTGTCAAATGTATTTATTTATCTAGCTTATTATTTATCTTATTTGGTTGTTGAATTTTTCTGAATATGATAAGATTTCTGTTTAAGATAAATATTGTTGTTACTTGTGCTTGCTGACCTGGTTTTTAGGAAGCTAAGTATGTTGTAACAGATTTCTAGCTGGAAGATAAACGTTGAATTTAAAAGCAGCTTTGAAGTTTGAATTTGAAAGCTTCGAAATTTCTGGAGTTTGTTGAAGACCCAGAGACTGTTGGCAACGTTTTAAAGTCAGCTTCAAAGCCTTATAAATAGCATGAAGATCAGCCGGTTTCATTATCCAAGTTTTTCAAGAAGTCTTGTGCTATTCTAAGAGCTTTAATTCTCTCATTGTTTACTACTTTTCATTACTTAAAAGTGAGGGAAAAATACGAGTGTTCACTTGTGCTAAACTTTGTAATACTTGAGTGATACACTTCGTAGTAAAATTATAATACTCAAAGTTGTTTGAGTGTGTTATCTTTTATTTCTAGGATTTGAGTGTTTAAGGTGTAGTGGGAAGTACTACGGAGAGAAGATAGTGAGATCTTCTAGGTTGCTTTAGAACTCTAAGGGAAGAAATAAAAGTTGGTTAAAATCCTACGGGTTGGACAACCCTAGGCGGAGACGTAGGCCTTTGTGCTGAACTTCGTAACAATTCCTTGTGTTTATTTCTGTTTTTATTTTTGCCTTATTCTTGCTTTCGTTCTTTGTTTTAAACAGTTTTAACAAAATCCAAAACAAACGTTTATAACCTTCTGCTTACTAACTGTTTTACTTTAAATAGTTTTCAAAGTCTTGATTTGTAAAACAGAGATCAATTTATTCCGCCCTGTAACTGATCTCAAGGCCTTGACATTTTCTGTTTTGCGAAAAACGCCCATACTCTATTCAACCCCCCCTTCTAGAGTATTAATATGTTTATTCCATTACCATTGTGATCCTTTCATTTGGTATCAGAGCAGGTATTCACATAAAGATCTAACAATCTGTGAAGATGAATTCCATTGGTGATGGAGGCTTCGCTCAAGGTCGATCCGCAAATCGCCCTCCTCTCTTTTGTGGCAACAACTTTGCTCATTGGAGGTCATTGATGCAAATGTTCGTGATTGATCAAGACCTTGAACTCTGGGAGATTATCAAGAAGGGTTCTAAAGTTCCTATGAAGACCACTGAAAGTGGAGTAGCCGTTCCTAAGAATGATGATGAGTTCAACCAAACGGATCTTGAAAGTGTTGCAAAGAATTATCGTGCTATGAACTTGCTGTATTGTGGACTAGATGCTAATGAATTCAACCGTGTGTCTACATGAAAAAGTGCCAAGGAGATATGGGATAAGCTCGTAGTCACATATGAAGGAACAAGCCAAGTCAAGGAGACCAAAATCAGCATTTTCCGTCGACAATATGAACTTTTTAAAATGCTTTCAAATGAATCTATTAAAGAAATGTTTACTAGATTCACTCAAATTATTAACAATCTTGATTCTCTTGGCAGGTTTTTCTCAAATGAAGAAAAAGTGAGAAAGATCCTTCGATGTCTTCCAAAAGCAAAGTGGGGTCCTAAAGTTACAGCAATTGAAGAAGCTCAAGATCTAAGAACCCTTCCTCTTGATGATCTATTGGGAAAATTAATTACCCATGAAATGTCCTTTGATGAAGAAGATGGAGAGCCTGCCTCATCCACAAAGGGGCTAGCTCTCAAAGCCAAGAAAGAATAAGAGATAGAGGAAGATTCGGATGAAGATGATGATGAAGACCCCTTTGCTCTTCTCTCAAGGAGTCTTACCAAAATCCTCAAAATGAAGAAGAAGTTCTCAAAAGAAAGAAATCATGGAAAATCTGATCGATACAGCAATCGCCAAGAAAAGCCTAAGGGAAAGACATACAACAAACTCAATACCTTGAAATGCTATGAATGTGGTGAAGAAGATCACCTTGTACGAGATTGTCCTCAAAGAAAGAAGTCTAAGCCCTACAAAAAGGAATTCAAGAAAAAGGCTATGGTGGCATCTTGGAGCGATTCTGACTCAAGTGATTCAGACGATGATGATCAAGCCAACCTATGTCTAATGGCAGAAAAAGACACTTCTAAAGAGGAACATCTTCAGGTAATTGTAAATAATCTCATGTCTAGTCCTTCAAATATTCTTTCTGAATTCTTGCATAATATGATTATCAATGAGGAAAGCTTGATTCAAGAGTCAAAAATTTTGAAAGAAAAACTCAGTACGCGAGTTGAAACTACTGAGAATTTAATCAAAGAAGTTTCTGTTTTAAAAGAAGCTTATACAGCTCTCGAAAACAAGGTCAAAGTGTCTGAAACTCAGATCAAGGCCTTGAAAACCGAGAACAGTACTTTGAAACAAAAACTCACTTCTCTAAATTACTGTAATTATAGTCTTGAAAACGAGAAGAAAAGTCTTTTTGAAAAGTGTTCAAATCAGCAAAGTCTTTTAAATAAACTTTCAAATTTTGAAAATGATTTTAACAAAATTTTGGACAAAGCACGAGGATCCAGAGACAAAACTGGACTTGGTTTTAACAAATATCTTGACAAAAAGAAACCTACTGTTTTTGTTAAAGCCAAAGGAAGTTTTAATGGTCCTACCTGTTTTTATTGTTGCAAAAAAGGTCATACCAAGCTCACCTTTCCTTTCAAAAGGAAAGATCCTCATATTATCAAACATTCATTTCCTTATTTTACTCGAGACCAAATTAAGCAAATCTGGGTAGTTAAGGGAACTAGACCACCAAACATGGTCTATCCCAAATATGATTCCAAATTTGCAGTTTGGTCTAGAAAGGTTTGATAATTTGTTATTTTGCAGGAGAGCTTGAAAAAGAAAGATTATAGATGGATTTTAGATAGTGGATGTTCTCGGCACATGAGTGGAAATTCTGCTTTATTCTCTAAGGTTGAAACTAATCTATGTGGAACAATAACCCTTGGAGACAAAAAGAAGTGCAATATCGTTGGCATTGGCAAAATTGGAGGTGATGCATTTAACTCCATTGATGATGTCTATCTAGTTGATGGATTGAAGTACAATCTTTTAAGCATCTCTCAACTGTGCGACAAAGGCAACGAGGTAATATTTGATAGTGAAAAATGTGAAGTGCGTGACAAAGGTGGTAAGATCATTCTAACTGCTCCTAGAAATAATGATGTGTATTCGTTTCATTCTAATCTTGTTGAAAGTTCTAGTCTGAAGTGTCTCAAGGCCCTGACTGAAAATACAAGGCTTTGGCACAGAAGACTTGGACATATTAACATGCATACTATGAAAAAGCTGTCTATACAGAGTTTAGTGCGTGGCTTGCCTGAATTAAATTTCAAAGAAAAAGGGTTGTGCAAAGCATGTGCTCGAGGTAAACAGGTTAAAGGTTCTTTTAAGACCAAAAAGGTTGTAAGTACCTCTAAACCCCTTGAACTTTTACATATTGATTTATGTGGTCCTATGCGTGTCAAAACCCCAAAAGGAAAACAGTATATCCTTGTGGTTGTTGATGACTATTCTCGTTTTACTTGGGTTTCATTTTTAAGAGAAAAATCAGAAGCTTTGTTGGAGTTTTCAAAAATTTGCAAAGAAGTTCAAACTGAGAAAAACCTACCTGTGGTAGCTGTGAGAAGCGACCATGGTAGAGAATTTGATCAAATTAATTTTGAAAAGTTTTGTACTAAATATGGTATTTCTCACAACTTTTCAGCTCCAAGGACACCTCAACAAAATGGGGTTGTGGAACGCAAGAACCGCACCCTTGAGGAACTGTCCAGGACCATGCTTTTGGAAAATGCTTTACCAAAATATTTTTGGGCAGAAGCTGTTAATACAGCTAACTATGTTTCAAATCGTTGTTTAATTCGCCCTATTTTAAAGAAAACTCCATATGAGCTTTTCAAAGGA